GGGCCCCAAGGTATTCCACCATAAAATCAACCAATTCTTGAGCTCCTGGTGGATAGTTTGCTAACAGCACCAGATCGTCAGCAAATGCTAACACAATAGCATTTTTTTCAATCAGGCACTTCACAATGAGATTAAGAGGAGTGGGGTTCCTCTGTTTAACTTCTCTACGAATTGGCATCACAGTGCCTTTCGAGGGGTACTGAATGACGGTGGAAACGTCAGCGTAAGAATCCATTACCAAATTGGTAAAGGCGTCGGGGATACCTTTCCTGGACAGAGCCTACCGAATCGCCGCATGAGGAACAGTGTCGAATGCTTTGGATAGATCTAGCAGAACGCCGACACCACCCCTTGCTGTTTTCATGTCACAGGCTGCTTCGTGAAGAATAAGAACTTTAGCGAAACAGCCAGGCTCAGGATTAAACCCCTTTTTGGCATGGATTGAACTTCACCATAGATCGAATGCGTTTTTCCATGATGTCCGAAATGATTCTGCACAGCAGAGAAACAATCGTGATGTGTCGATAGTAACAAACTTATTTCCCTTACCCTCTTTTGGGATAAGGATGGTGAAATTAACTTTCCACCTAGAAGGCACGAAGCCAATGTATATAATTTGGATGTACAATAGGGACAATATTTCAATTTTTGCTCCTGAAGACATGTGGCTAACTTTTATCTCACTGGAGCCATAGCATTTTTAATTCCAGCAAGATGACATTTAATGACTTGCACCGCCTGTAGAAGGAGGGCTCCTCCAAATGGATTTGTACAGGTTATTAACCTCATCCCTGTTAAGGGGCTGTTGATCAACACTAGTACAGTCAATGTCCATTCTAATGCACATGGCCAAAAGCCCTGGATCAATCTTCAAAAGGTCCTGCGCCCTAGCATAATTGTAGCACTTCCAATTGTATGCCTCCATTTCTATGGAGCCGTTTGGACCGGTGGAGGTAGGTATGGAGGAGCCATCCAAAATCTCCACTAACTCCTCTCCTAACTAAGTCTTCACTAACTAAATCAAGAGTTATACTCTTTTGTCATTGTAGTATGGGTAACTCCCTACTAATGATATTTGTGAGTTCCAGTAAATAACTAGGCCACTGAAAGAATTAACTTTTTAGGAATCACAATAGATGAAAATCTATCTTACAATGATCATATGAGCTCACTATGCATTGAAGTAAGCTCCATTTTTCTCTTACATTACTTCTTGTAACTGAATCTCTGTTAATTATGTATTATGGAATAATTAATCCACATATCAAATATGGTATTGCAATTTGGAGAAGAGGAACAAATTGAACTATGAATGAATTTTGACCCTGCAGAACAGAGTACTAAGATGCATATTCAAATTAAAATCAACCAAATCTTGCTAGAACTCTTACAAAAAAAACATACAATTTTGACTCTACGCATTCAGGTTAATTATTCTATTAAAAAATAACTGTACTCCTACCATCACTAAAAGTAATGAACTAAAACATCACTTATAAACACTATAAATATGACACTTATGAACATAAAAATTACCATAGGGAATTGAATTCTAATGCAGCAAGGAAACAAAATGCAATAAAAGTGTACAATAAATTGCCAAACTGTATTAAACAAGTAGAAATCACTTCAAAATTAAATTAAAAGATTACTTTGGTATGATATGCCTTTATAAAACTAAGGATTTGATGAGCAGATAAATATATGATTAATTTGAAAGAACATTATAATTTTATTCTTCATAAATTTAACACTAGACTTAGAACTTGTATAAGATAACTTGTGTGAATAAATCACATGTGAATCTCAAAGCCAAAATAATTTTGCTTGTCTACATATATTTACCTTATTCATCTTTACAGACAATAAAAGGAATGCATTCTGTCTTTAAGTGTATCATCTCTCTAGTCTGACCTGGTATGGCCTACTGTGGCCTTCTCTACCCTGCTCTGCTCTTTCCTAATCTGCCCTGGCCTGCTCAAAACCACCCTGCTCCTTGCCATTGTCCTCACTTGTGCTCGCCTACCCTCTCCTGTGATGCCTTGCCTGACTCTGATATTGCCTTACTGCCATGTCCTGTGTGATGTCGACATACCAAAAAATATTTTTGCATATTCTTAATGAAATATTGCCTGGCGGCTTAGTTCGTAGGTCAGTATGCTCGTTTTCCATGAAGTAACCCTGGGTTCGATTATAGTGGTCTGGTTGGGTAAGATTATAGTGTGCGTTTTACTTGAAAAGTCCCAGTTTATGTTGCTGTGTGACAGTGAGAAAATTCACTTTTCATTCACTTGAGAAGACTAGAATACAGCATGTCTTCATGCTAACCACACATACCCCCTGAACCCATTGCCGTGAGGCAAGGATGTCACTGATAGGTCATTGCCAATACATGGGCCAATGCACCAATAACAATTTATTAATAAAATTTTGAATTACACAAAAATGTAAACTATACGTGCAAACATTAGAGATTTCCAACTTCCATAGTTTCTGTGGTTAACTGAGTAACTGAGCCTATTACATAAAATGTTATAGAAATAATACATGATTAATAGGATTGTCGTCTATAGTGTTATGTATTTTGTACTACAATTACAATAATAATTGTTATTTTGGAGCGTGGACAATATATCCATTATAAGTCTTTCCCCAACATCTTGACTCTTTCTGATTTTCCCTCACATCTTTGAAGAGTGATTAATGTGCCTCTAATCTACCTTACCATCAGAAGTGCTCAATATATATTCCACTCCTTTTATTCAAGTGAACTGTACATAAAAATTTTAATATTGCAGGGAAAATGGTATTAAACGCTCATCACTTAAATGAATAAACACAATATTTGTTAGAAAACTGTTACAAAATCACATTTAAAAAAAAAAAAAGAAAAAGAAAATCTATTTTCATCAACTGTTAACTGTTTTACTCTGCTTCTCATAGTTTCGTTGCGCACACTCTGCCCCCACTGTTCCACATTACCCGCCCTCGCTCAAAAGTTCTCCTCTGGGAGGCACCTTGCGTGCCATCTATCTCCTCAGCAGTAAACCTTGAAATCCATGCTCATCTTCCCACGATAAGTTAATTGTACTGTAATTATACTATACTAACTTAAAGTGTATCCAGAAGTTTTTGCAATGAATTGAAACACTTTTTAACTTTTATAACTATTAATTTTATCTTGTTTAGCTTTGGCTCTGCCTCTGGCAGAGCATTGCCTCTGGCAATGTGAGAGGTCTGTGTGTCATTAGATATCCTGGTTGTAAGAAAAAATCCAAAAATAATGAAGTGAACAGTACAAATGTTTGATTGCGTTGTTATGCCTGTTTCATTCTGCACTAACCGACAGAATTCTCTTATTCAGTGCATCATTGCTTGCAACACAGCTGACATCATGCAACTGTAAAGCTCCAAGAGGTCACCTAGCATTCAAAATAGGTACCGTATGCTATTCATGTGATGTGTTATGAAACAGAAACTCTTCTGATATTCTTTGTACATAAAGAACTGTTGTACTGGGGGTCCATAAGTACTACATGTTATTAGCATGTGTCACAATTTGAAAACAAATTAAACCTATGTTATTTGGCCAATTATTTACAGACACTTCAGTAAACACAAGAAGATTTATTCACCAAACCTGTTAACTAAATCTAGAAGTGAACGAACCTTCTCATGTTTACTAATGTGATTGGTTTGTAATTAATTAGCCAAATAACAAGAGTATTTCATTTCATTCCCAAGACGAAAAAAAACATGAATGTGCATTTTTCAGAAAAACACAATTTTTACTTTAAAGTCTATGTAAAACTATAATGTTTGTGAATATTTGTGTTTCAGTGTCTTACTACTATTATTATGACATTGAAACACAAATATTCACATACGTTTAAAATTTGTAATTTTACATAAACTTCACAGTTTCAATGTGTCAATTTTTTATAAGAAGCAATGATTCAGCACTTTAAACCAAAGAGCAAATTAAATGCATAGAACAAATTGTGTTAAAATCAACTAAGAATAACAAATAATGGAAAATAATATTAAAGAACTGAAAGGAGAAAGGATGTGGTTTTGATATTAATTTCTCAAAATATTAATTCTGATTTTTGTTTGTTTGTTTGATGGACACCTCTTAGGTTCAGTAAGAAATCTCCAATCATCATTCTAATAAATGGAAGTAGGGGAGAGAAAAAAGGTTCGAAACATTATTTGCAAAATTGCAAAGAACAAACTTATATAATATACGTCTCGTGATCGTATGACGTATAAATTCGCATTATTCACATACTACCAGAGTGAGATCAAGTGATCAGCGCCAATCAGTGCTTAAATGAATTCGTCTTCGGAAACGAATTATCGATATACCGTATCGTATTTTCTCGATAAGGGAAATATTCTCGAAACCATTTGGAATCACATTTGCACGGCGCAAGAACCGTGTTTCATTGTGTACTTCAACTTCCTGCATTAATCTCCTTTGGCCTGGAATGTCGTGCAATACGTAATCTAGAGGCAAGACCGTACCAAGAGAAGAGCTTGACTGATCGGTTTAGTACATTGTGAAATGTCGGTCTCGAGTGGTACCTACCGTCGTATTGACCGGTAGGTAGGAAACGGTATGTGGTAAAAAGAATTACTTTCAATGAGGAATATGAAACATTATTTTCAAAAAAATGTGTTTTGTAAATTATTTTAAAGAATATACAATAAATAGTTTATTACTTAATTATTTCTAAGCAAGGAAAGGACCGATTCATTGACGATCGGAACCAGATGCATAGAATTTTCTCCTTTATATTTCCTTTCCCCTTTATATACTTCCAAATTATATTTGTAAATAAAATATCTATTATATGTAAAAAGTGTAGATTTGACCTCAGTTTTATTAAGAAATATTAACATCCCTTGTTACCTAATCCTCTCACATTTCCGAAATCGTATTTCGCGGTAATACTTCATTTGTTACAATCTACTGTATCTCCTGGCGGTAAGATTTCGAAGTTTGCTCGTGCAATCCGCCATGACAGCTGATTTATTCTGGTTGACGTGAGGAGTCATGTCATGTAGAAAATTCAACTACAAATGGAAGATTCATTTTTTGGCTTCAACACGTCTCTGCCGGTAAGATTAACATGTCTGTTTTTAATATCCTTGAAATGGAGACCATTGTAGGGTTAATGCATGAAATAATTGCTGAGCGAAGTCTCCTCATGGGTCCACAGTAGCCGTATTTGTTATCCCAAATAATTCAGTTTTTCGTGTAAATTTTTGTTAAGTATCTGTTTCTTTATAAATTTCAGCGCATTTGTTTCTTAAGTTTGATTTACGTAAATTTCCTTCCTTAAGCAGTTTAATTTGAAAGCATAATGTACGACGATTGCATAATAACCCACAAAATAAGAAACTAAATGGATTTCAAATCATACATTCTTTGTAATAGGATGTAAACTTCATTTTTAAAATATGATTATGTTGACACAGGGTTCCAGTATTCTGCTAGCCAGTCGATTTTTTTTTGTTGCCCATCTTTCTAATTTATTTTTTATTTATTAAAGAAAGCTTCCTGAAATCAAATATTTTGGAAATTCCTGTAATTTAGAGGGATGCTATAATACTGTTAAACCCAATAAACTAAAGGGCTTAATGAAACTAGTGTTTTATTCTTAGTGAGAAGACCTGAACTGGTGGATAACTATAAGAATCTTTTAAGAATAGATTCGTTTATCATTTTAGATAATCATCAAATAATCATTCAAGTTTCTATTTGCAGGGTTTGTTAGATGAAGAGTTGCATGATGAACCCGGTCAGGGCTTGGATGAGGAGGAGGAGGAAGAATATGATGCATTGAATGATGAAACTTTTGGAACTGATGCTGTGGGTAAGTTTAATCTGAGTGCTGAATTCACATGGTGCAATTGAGAGAAATAACCATGTATTTATGTTAGTAAAAGTGATAGAGATTATTTAAAGAATATTATAAGTGAAAAAGTTTTATGGAAATTATAAGGAAACCTAATCTTTTTTTTTTTTGCTCACAAATTTGTGTATTACTGTGTAATTAGGCAGTGTTGTACTGTTTATATTAAACATAAGTGCATCTCTTTAACTTTATTGTGGTAAAGTAAATAATTCAATCACTAAGTACCAAAATAATTCCTTAATGTAGGATATATTTTGAGAATAGGTTCATGACCTAAACAATAAATTCTGGTTATATTTTTCTTGATAATTTTAATTGATACTATGTAAATTAAATTTTAAATATTTAAAATTATTTGAATATTAGAACAAACATTTAAATTATACTATTAAATTTGTTATTCAATATTATCATCTATATGCCTTCCTGTAGCTCTTTACAAGTTAGGCTTGCCATCAATTCTTCTTCTTCTTTTTTTTAATGCCATGAACCTTTTTTATTTATTTTCTTACTATTGAATATTCGTTTCAATTTATTTGCACCTTTTTTAGTAAAAATTAAGAAGTTTGATGTGTGTTCTGTGATACTCTTAATCTCTATTTTAATTCATTCCAACTAATTCTAAATGTGTTACAAGATTTTTGCATTAATTTCTTTCTTATAATAATTTTATTTTTTAGAGAGCTTTGTTTTTTGAGATTAATATTTGTTTATTTCATGTTTGCATATTTATTTTCTTTTGAATGAAAATACTTAGAATAATTTTGTCAATAAAATATTTCATTACAGAGGGTGATTGGGAAGAGGATCATGAAAAGCTTGCTGAAATAACAGAGCAGTCAAGAGCTCGTTGTGGTAGCTATGGAAATGATGGAGCAGAGCGTTCTGATGAGGCTGAACATGACACAGGGCTTGAATTAGAAGCTAGCCTTGCCCAGTTAGTGCTGGAAGATTATGAGGATGATGTGATAGTGGAAAATGGAACTATAGGAGGCAAGCTTCAGGTAAGTTTCAAGTGTTTAACTGGTTTATAGTTTGTAGAGACAGGTAAACTATTTTTTAATAGTTTGGAGATTGTGTGTAGTGAAGCTTAGGGATAAACATGCATAAAATATTCAAGGTTTTGGCTTGATTGAAAGAGTCCGGTACAAGGAAGTCATTCAAATTGTCAAGTCTCCCTGCTGGGAGACTGAGGGAAAATTCAGTGAAGACAAGGTTAAAAAGTTGTTGGGGAAGCCCTGACAGACAGAGGCAGTTTGTCATTTTCTTTATGTAGCATGACAATTTTAAATGGATGTTTATTTAGTGAGAAGCAATGACACTGTGAGATGGATTTTCTTGGAGAGGAAATGGCAGTGTTGCATGCTTTCCTGAAACAAAAAGTATCTGTATTTACAATTCAACAGATTTATGAAATTTTTTAAGAATAATTTTGTAGTAATTTTCAATTGTTTTTTGTCTTAATGTCTTTCCAAATGGCAAGTTGTGAATTATCTTCTAACATGATTGCAATGAAAGATATTTGTTGAATTGTCAACATCTGATTTTTCCAGAATCATAGGCAAGAGTCTATTACAACAGCAGAGAATTACAGTAGTTCAGCACCATCTGGATATTCTGTATGGACACCGACCAAACATGAAAATCATCTACAAAGCACACATCCTATTACTCCTAGTATACTTCCTGGAAAAGTAAGTGGATTGATTTTATGAATTAGTGTTATAAACATTTATGTTAATTTTAAGAATACAGGGGCTTCTAATGTGCCTGACATGTATGGCGAAAATACAACACTCAGGAAACTTGTAACTATAATTTTTAGAAGTCAAATTGTTGTGATATTTAATGTCAAGAATTTGAAGTTGAAATGTAATAAGTTCTTCATTAGAGGCTGAGTAATTTTGGTAAAAAGTTATGATAAACTTATTCTGACTTAGTTTGAAGCTGATTTGATAACTGTTATTTGAAAAATTGTATTATGGAATGATCAATAAAATATGATAGGTTAGAAGACTTTCACAGTATTTACTATCAGTTAGTGATTATTGTGAGATATCTGAAACTTTTGTGTTTGTGCATTAAAGCATGTTTTTGTCATTTATGGAGAAAATTCTGTTTAAAATAATTTTGCACTTTTGCAAGTAATCTTATACAATATTATGAAAAGAATTGTAAACAAACTGACTTCATTCTAAAGAATATACTATTTGTCTTATTTGGATGTACATAATATGAAGGTAAGAAATGATTATAATTAATTGTTGCAGAATGTGGTATCTGTGGAGGAACTGGAACGAGGTTTACTCTCCCAGCAGCACAATCAGCATAGCCAAGCACTGAAGCAACAACCTCCCTTAATAGTTCCACCACCTCCTGGCCTTGGTCCCCCTGCTCCAAGCAGTGTGCTGAGGTTGGAAGATGTGGAGAGGGACTTGACAGCCAATGCAAGCCTGCCAGTTCATTTGAGTCGTGGACAGACACAAATTGTTCAACATCCAGTGAGTTAATTTTGCAGTAGTCACATTTATCTTGCTTTTAAATGAATTAAATTTGTTAAAGATTATCTCATACCATATTTACCCAAATACATGCAAAGATTTTTTCGTAGATATTCCATTAAAAAAATAAGGGCTTATCTTACGTTTCCAGATTAAGCCTAGGTGGTTAAAATCTGTTGCATTGAAATCCAAAGCTGACTTTCCAATTTGCTGAGTGATTCAGAACAATATTTTTGAACAGGAAGATAAAGAGAATTTCAAAAGGGATGGCATTCAAGTGAGTGAAGCACTACTTGAAAATTAATAAAAATCATTCTCAACATTTTGTTTGGTGATTGACAAGACCATGCAGGCTCTTGCTTCAATGTCTGTTGAGTGCAGATCTGAGTTTTGTGAGAATTTGAAAAAATTAAGTGATAGAAGTAGGTATTCTACATAAAGATGCAGAAATGGAATGAGGAAAAAATAAGTTACCAAAAAATTCCTAAACATTGGAAACTTAATTGCTCCCCCTGTGCTACACATAAAACAGAGAAAACTTTCTCAGGGGATCTAAATAGTCAGAGGATGATGTGAATTGAGGGAAGGCAAGAAAGAAACAATTGTACAAGTGAAGAAGAAGGTAACAGTGGCAAAAATGATGAGGGATGAAGACAATGATTATAAGAAAGTAAAAAATAGTGTTAGTGCAGGGAGAGGGATTTTACTTTCTGGTCAACAAGGTAGTTTTCTAATCAGGAAGATAATTTGCCACATTATTGCATTTATGAATAGTAAGAAATGGTTAAAAATTGAAGAAAAAAATCTGGAAAATGCTAAAATCTTCACCAACACATTGCAGAAAAGATCAAGATCACCTGATCCTTGAAAGTACTTTCATTTTCTTTGCATATGAAGAAATGCTGCATTTAGTTTCCTCCTTTTATCTGAAAACAAGCATGATGTATTTAATATTTCCCTCTGATAAGCATAAGAAGTTACAACACATTGAATTGTGCATCATCATACATCTTTTAGTTTCTTGTATTCATGGACGACACCATTTCTTGACAAATTTCAACTTGGAACAAAGGTATGATAATCTTGCTTTTAAAAGTGAGATACCTCAAGATCAGACTTGAAACAGTCTGAAGATAGGATGAAAGGAATAAATTCTTGGTTTTTATGCACGTGGTAGTGAGTATGGGCCGAATTCATAGTCATCACTAATAGGATAAGCAAACCCTTAAGTGATATGTGCTTTCTCAAAATAAGTTTTCACTTATAGGTGCTTGTATTTCGTAGATGTTCCTTACGACCGCGGAATGAGTGTTCCCTTAAGCGGAAGGGAAATGTGGCAACATGGGATTGGTGGCAGCTGTTTTGAAGTTCTTGGCAATCGAGTTTACACATACACTTCATCTTGTACAGAGAGCTTCCAATTTAACAGGGGGCGGACACTCCAACATAAAGTTGACGTCGCAAGCACGACAAAATACTTCTACTGCTTCTAATATGACCTCATAGAGACAAAACGAGATGTTTTGATGTTGGTATATTTTACTAATGTGATTACTACCAATCACTAATAATAAGCAGAAATGTAACAATATAATCTATGATTCTCATATAATTTGAATGACTATTTGTCACAGGTATCATGTTAATATTTTAAAAATGTACTTATTACAAATCCCTAATAATAAGAAATGTTTGGTAAAAAATATAATCCATGAACCTCTTATCTAAAGTTTAATGAATCTCTGCACTGTCTTGTGCATTTTCTACACATTATTTATGTGCATTATTGGATTGTAATATAATACTTAACATCAAGTTTTTCTAATGAGTATTCCTCAACAATAAACATATGCTCTAGTATAACTTTAATGAATAGTGGTGGTAATGGTAAAATGTATGACAATGTCTGCCAATATTGGTAATGGATTATTAACATTTCATGTAATTGAAAAATGTCAACGCCATATAGTATTAAACATAAATTCGTTTTTAAACACTTTAAATTTCTTCACTTGTTATTCATATTGCAAATTCATAATTACTTATAATAGGTCTTATAAATCAGTTACAAATAAAAGTTAAAAATGTTGACAACATTCCTGAAAGGATGAAGTTGCATAACTTCTTAATGTAACGAGAATTTTAATGAGAGGAAATCGGCAATCCTCTTTTAGTCATTGGTACATTGTCAATAATCGGCACAAATGAATCCATTACAGTAGTTTTATTGAAACGAAACTGGTTTTGGAATTGTTCATCATTCTACATTTCTAATGGGTTTGTCATATCTTGAATATCTCTCTTGAAATTGTGCAGGATGTGTTGAGTATAAAAGTCAAAATAATCTTTGAAGTCGTTTTCCATAACACGTTTCACAAATGATATATTTTAACTGTCTACACTATACAAACGCCAGCAAAATGAATTCAATAGTTGGTGAACGCCGCGTAAAAGTATAACCTAAACTGGTTATGACTGTCGATGCGAGGGAGCCATAAGGAACACTTAAGGGAGCAGGGTGCCTCGCTTATATGAATGAGTGCTCCCTTAAGACTTCACTCAAGGGCTGTTTATGAATGTGATTCGTCCACTTAAGGGAACACTCAGTATAAGGCACGACTATGAATTGGGGCTATTGAGCCTAAGGAAGTGAGTATTTTCTCAAGTTTGAGAATTTCCTCACTTTTTGCAAAAATTTTTGAAACGTTTATTCATACACTACTGAGCTAAGAAAAGGCGAGTAAATAGCATATGCTCATTTTTATTCATATCACCATTGTTTTACTGAATTTTTTTGTTTCTTCTTGAAATACTAATGTGTTTTACTGTTAAGAGACCTTTCTGTAAAATGTACTGTCACATCCCATTCATTTCCCCCAATTCATGAATCTACTTACAAAGCTCTTTTGTTTTATATATTTCAAAAGAGCTACAGTATTATTCTCAAAGAAATAAAATGAGATCATAACCATGTAATAAATAATTTGGGTGCGAAGAATTTGTGGAGGTATAAACAGTTCTTTTTGAGCTATTTTAAAAGGAATGCTCAATTTGTCTCCTTCAATCTTCTTTGTGCGTTTGTGCATTAGATTCTGTTAATATGCTTTCTTTTAGTTTCCTTACTAACAAATTTTTTGGCTACAAAGATTGACATAAAGTGCATCAGGAAGCATGGGTTTCATAAGCCCATGTTGTGCAGGTATTCAGTCACGCCAAATCAGCATCAACTGAGCATAAATTGTGCTTATAAAGCACTGTTTCTATTCCAGGTAGTCAATGCCATTCTTTAGTTTGTCATGATGGAGAGTAGATTCCTTCACATGGTGCAAGATATGAACTAAGAGCCCAAAATACAGATGCATATTATAAGAGTGAAAGGCTTTGTACACGGCTTTCATTGTCAGTCAATCTGTTGATCTTTGTCCATAGTCTATTGGTCTGCCTACCCTCCTGTTTATCCTTGGTTAAGGGCATACTAATGTTTAAGTTACTCAGTAATCTTATCCAAAATTCACTTTCTCAGATTAATCTGGCTGAACTTGGGGCCTCACGGATTTGAATCAGATGTTTTCATTGTAGGGGGATTTTTTGGGGTAATTTTTGGATTCAATTTTTCCAAGATTTGTATTAATTTGTTTTCATGCATGGAGCAAATAGTGCAATTCCAATCTTGAACTTGCCATTTTCAAAAATTGAAGAAAAAAAACAACACACGTTGCACTACTACAATATTGACAATAAATATCTTTTACTTAATGAAATTTGCTTCTTCAAAATTATGACTTTAATTGAGGTCATTCACAATTTTTTGGAAGTGAATAGTTTTTGTGTACTTTTGAGATTAAGAATGAAAAATTTATAATGTTTTTGGAATTTTTCTTACACTTTCAATAACTAAGCTAGAGATTTCGTTTTCAGTGTAATCTATTTCTCAGATTTCTCTTTATACCATTTCATATAAGAATTTTTTTGAAATAAAGGTAGTTTTTGTTATTTTGGGAAAGCACTAAAATAGCAATATGAACAAAGCAGAGTTTGATTACTGATGAGAGATTCCTGAGATAGCTAAAGAGTTAGATTGATATGATGTGCAATACTTAATTATAAATGTTATAAATCTGTTCCGTATAAACAAAAGAATATGTAAGCTTTTTGTATATATGTAGCTGTTTGGAAAATATGCTTATTCAAGTAAACTTTTCTTGTAATTGTGACTGCAGATAAGTTTATATCAGGTTGCAATACAAGAACGGCAATTGTCTCACCACAGCAGTTTGAGAAGACAAAACTGAATTTCATTGTTAGTTGACAGTGTTTGTTGCCATATGTTATGCAGTTGTTAACAGCTGAATTTGTGTTGATGTATTAGCTTTAAAAGAATTAATTTTTTAGCAATGTTTCTAGTGTGTTCAATTTATTTATATATAAGCAGTAAGACAGAAGGTTTGTAACTTAATTTTTATGGATTCACATGCTCATATCTCCATCTGCAGATTTGAAGTTGTGTTACAGTTGGTGGCTCTCTTCAAAGTAATAGAGGCAAGATTACGGAAATTATCTGTATAAAGTTGTAAGAATACTGTTACAATTGTGAAATTGTAAGCTTTTGAGGGTGTCAATAGATTCTCGACTGTTCAGGAAGTGCTGCATCTTAGGCACAATTTAAACCCTCTTTATAAAGCACCCCTGCTGTTTGGCAACTGCTGCATTTGATGAACTTCTTTTGAATTAGCACATATTGTTACTACTGTTTTTTTTTTGTTTCTATATCTTTTGAAAAGTGCAGGCAGTGCAGATGTCACAATATCACATGCTATGTCACAGAAACACAAACTGACTTAAAAGGAAAAAAGTTGATGTCAGCACCTACATGAAAGTGAAACTTAGTGTTTGAGATGTGACCTTGCAGTTTTCTATTCAAAAAATACAAATTACTGACCTTAAATTGTAGGTTGGAAATGGACATAGTTTAAGCAAATGCTAATTTCTTGTTACACTGGGCTTGAAAGTTGACAACTTTTATTTTTTGATTCACTGTATGCATTTTATTGTACAAATATTACAAAAAACATTGTCGGAAAAGCACAGACTTGATGATCGTAATCGTATAATAAGGTTTAGGCCTCTTGTCCTATTCCTGTTAATTTTTCCCTTATTCAAGTTCTTGCCAATTATGTTGGTATTTTTCAGTTTTTTAAATAATGTTTTTGTCTTTAAGTCTTTTTGAATCTCTCCAGTCCTTGATAAGTCTCTCCTTGAAAAGTTTTATGAGAAAGGCACAGTAATACACTTCTTTATTCTCAGAAACATTTGTTATTTTTTGTGGAACATTCTTCGCAAATAAGACTTCTATTTTTCTTCCAAAACGTGAGATGGAGAAGCTTTATTTTATTGCAAATATAAATCTCTACATTTTGATGAAAGTGTTTTTGGTGCCACTAATATCAAAAAAGGTGGTTTTAATTTCGTTTACATTAAAAAGAACATATGCCCATATGAAACAGGGAAGTTGAAATACAATAATTTGAATTTGATAATTGTGTCAAGTGATATGAACAAATATCAAAATATCAATATTGACAAGAAAGTCAAGATTATCATGAAGCATCAATAGTGGCATATTCATGTAGAAAAATTAATTTCATTTTGCAGGATATGGTCTTACTTCGGAACACCCAGAATGCAGCAGCTGTGGCTTCTTTGGGTAGAGGACATTTTCCTGGGCGGCTTCCCCCACCACCAAAGGCCCAAGTGTTGCCTTTGGGTCGTGGTCAAGTCATGCTTCCTGGTGGACGTCTGGTAGGACCTTCAGGTGTTCATCCTGGTTTACCTGGAATTCCAGATCTTCGCCAACTGCCTCAACAAAACCATAGACTAATGGGTGTGTTTTTGGTGGCATTATTATGGTGTTTTTTAATCCTCAGAATGTGTTGGTCAGAAATAAAAAATATCAAATTAAAAATGAGAAATTTTGAAATATGTTTTGTATCACTTCATTGTAGTGCATATGGTTTGCAATTTAGGAGGGAAAGTAATGCTATTATTTTTCTCACAAATCATGTACAGTTTACTTTGATCAACTAAATGGGACTAGATTGATGTATGCCTTTTTTAAACATAGGTTTATTGATCATGAGACCAGATTATTCGCAACGTAAAAGGCTGAAATATGCATGGAAAATGCTTAAAAATATAGAAATAAGTGTGTGAATATGCAACATAAAATAAAAGTAACTAATACAATTTTTTATTAGGAACACTTGAACTTTGTTGATTAACTAGTGTGAATTGTCTCAGGTAAATGTTCATCAATGCCATTAATAAAATTATTAATTTGACTTTAAAGATTCAAAGCAGGTGTTCTGTGCGTAATGTTTTCAGACTTTATGCAGAAACATATCTGGCAATTTGGAATTCAATTGACGTTTTTTTCTCAGTTACATCAAGCTGAACCGCTGGCAATTTAATCACTGAATGGATTTATTCAGTGTTGCACTGATAATGTCATTCACTACACCTTTAATTGTTATGTAATGTTGATTGTAGAACAGCACTGCATCAACAAACATGCCCAATTGAGTTACCACCGTTTCAGGTTGTAAAGACACAATAGGAAGTTTTCTTTACAAGCTTTAAAGCGAACGGGTGACTTGAAGACTATTTTTGTTAAAGAAATCAATATTTTGACATTTCCAAATGTCCATCGTACTTCTTTGGCAAGTTGATGGTCTCTATGAGCAAAGCAGGTGACGTGAATCATATTAGGATTAAAAAACACCTGGAGTACTTAAGCTGCCTTATTCATATAGGATGCTGCATCTGAGAGAAATATGTACTCTTTCATCTACAGAAGAATAAGGAAATATTATATAATACCGCATTCACAAATCTGGTGATCCTAGAATGCATTTGTCCTTTCAAGTTCTGTACAGGATATCAAGCTCCAATTACTTCAGGACCAGATCTACAATATAACAGCCATAACTGCTTATAGTTGCGTCAGCTGATATCCACTTAATGCTATTATTAAATTCTTTACGTATATATTCCAAGATGTATTGGTAAATGGTTGGAATGTAATTTTATTTTATGTTGATTCATCTGGTACATTTTAATTCCAATAGTATTTTCCTAGTAAATGTTTGTAGGTAGAGTTTGAAAATTTGTAAGTTGTGATGTTACTCTCGCTAGAAATTCATCTCGTAAATCCATGCAAGACAATTTTATTTCTTTCCTTTTAGAAGAGTCACTGCTACTTGCCTCTGTTAAGTTTTGTCATGGACCTTTCTCATTCAACACTGCAATATGAATATATTGTTTTAATATGTTGGTCCACTTGCAATTTCTTTTCACATGAAACCCTTTTCTCACAAATTTGACAATACAATTGTCCTCATCCTCAGTAATATACGAGGATAGCCTACTATCTCTTTTTGGAATACCTTTTCCACTGGAGGCTTCTTGCACTTAGAATTGTCAGCAAAAGGCGATAAAAAACTAAGGTAACAAGAATGTATAGCAAGTAACAAACTTAAAAATGAACATGATATATGCAGTATCTAGCTATTGTTAACCAACAATTGCATGTGTTTGATTTCAATTGTCATGTTTTTGGAATCCAGAAATTATGAGGGGAAAGGGTATCCCTATCCTTATGTTGTGTAGTTCAGTCAGTGTTTAAAAGTTAATGTAAAAGATGCACAACTGCTAAAAGTGGTAGACGACTCATACAAGCTGTATGTTTCAGTTTGGTTACATGTATTAATATTGTAAAAATAATACAAATCTGCTGCATCAGGCGGGTTTTCAGTAATAAATGCAAAAAGGTGTAAAATAGTCTAAATATGCAAATGCTTCTGTAAATATGCTTTCTCATATTATCCGGTCTGAATTACAATTAGTGATCTAATTGTGATCACTTCACAATTATGTGCATCTTTTTTTAATCTATAACCTATATTTAAGTGATTCCAGAACATTCCATTATGGTTAACGTAAGGAATGGCATAAAATATGTAATTTAAAATTTTTTTGAGAGTTTATTAAGTTTGATTATTATAGGTTCTGCCCCGAATTTGCTGCGTTTCATTCCACCTCACCTGATGGTACCTCCAGGTCAGGGTCAAGGAGGCAAAGGAATTCCACACCCAGCTGGCTTTCCTGGCGACAATGGCCTTCTGTTTCCCAATCACCCCTTGGGACATTTCCGCCCAGGTATTCCGGTATGTACATTTCAATGTCGTTAAGTTTTTACTTTTTAGAATGGATTGTATACAGGGTGTTGACTCCTGGAAAAATGAGGGAATCTGAAATCCCTAGGGTGTTAGATAATTTTGGATTAGTCAGGAAAAACGAATGCACAAGATGTTTTACGAGGTATTTAATGTGTTGGAACTAAGCAAACCCAACTGCAGTGTGTAACTTTATCCTGAATTCCTTTCAAATCAGGTAAAGCTGGTAGGAGTTTGAAAACAAAACAGTTGTTAGTTCTTAGTTCCAGTTAGCAAAGTTTGGTTCTTGACAAGTTTTAAGACTGAGCATCATTCTTAGTACATATGCCTTCTCCTATTAAGACCCAAGTTTGATCCTCAGTCAATCTATGTGAAATTGCTAGTGAACAAACCATGCTCTTGTCTGGATTTCTCGAATTCTTATGTGTCCCCTGCCTCTCTTCCCACCAACTGTTCCATCATTCACCCTATCAACATTACTGCTATCATCTACCCCAGGACAACCTGTGGCACAAGTGCCCGATGTGATGAATTGAAGGATTACAAGTGGTGCATTGCCTTGCGCCTATTTTTTCTTTTAAAATAGATGATGTTAAAATAACAGAATCCATCTTTGTGCTTTCAACTTCAGAGTACTCTTTCCTCATTCCATACATGTGTGATCTAGTGTTGTTTGCAATACAAATGCTGGCTTGGCCTCTCCTTATTGTTTATTGGTGCTCCAATAATCTTGTCTTTTGTTCTGGCACTCACTAATTAATTTGGTTGATTGATTAAGTTATCTCTTTTCCTCATTTAAGTGATGCAAATTTTATCTCATCACTATTTTCTTAGCCCAGTGACATGCACGTAAGAAAGTATAACAGGAGCTTGTGTTGTGTAAGGATATTGTGCTATAAATGAAACTGATTGCTGCATAGTATACAAAAGGTTACCCTTCCTCTGGTCTATCCATTTAGATGTTGAAGGTTCATAACTCTTGGACCTCAATGACTTCAGAGGTTCAGGGATTCCTAAACTAAAATCAATGAATAAAAAAAATCAATGGACCTTTCAAGAATTTAATAAATAAATAGGTTATAATAATAATAATAATAATAATAATAATAATAATAATAATAATAATAATAATAAACCAAAAAATAAAAATAGCTCTAAAAAAATTAATAAATAAAATTTGCCCACAAATTTCAGAGTGAGCATGCAATGGTAAAATGTGTAATAATTTGTTAATGCTGATTTATGTACAATGTTTTAATTGTGTAACAGATTAATTTGTGATAATTTCTCAGCAATACTATGCAAACATTCTTCATCCAAAAGCATTTTGTAGCAGGTCAGGAATTTTTGCAACAGAACCGGAAAAGGCTGGGAATTATACTTTGTTACCCTGTTCACACCAGGAATATATCAAATACCCATGAATACAGTCAATAGAAGTAGTAATTAACGGCATAAAATATATTTTTACATATACAACATTTTTCTATTTTAGTTTCTTTATTTGCAGCATGTTGATCAACATAGGCCAGGTGGGCAAGGTTTGTATGGTCCTCGGCAAGATCGCCAGGGGGCATACTTCAGCAATAACCGTAATGGTGGGCCTAATACTAATTACCAGCATCCAAATCGTGGTGCTCCTCATCATCATCATTATAATCATAGTAATCGAGGTGGATATCAGAGTAATCAAGAATATGATGAATATGCTGGGCTAATGACTACACGTGAAAAGCATTGGTTATTGAATATTCAAATTCTGCAGCTGAATACAGATAGGCCTCATATTGATGATTACTACTACACCGTAAGTAGATATCAATTGCCCTTAATATGTGTTAATTGATTTTTTCCTTTGTTTTGAAGATGCTTGCTAGTGGACCTTGTAAATTAATGTTTTCTATAAATCTTGTTTTTGGACATTGGTTTAAACCTATTTTTTTTTCTTGGGTTTTTCTGGTGTCTAAGAATTTGTGAAAGCACTATCATTTCCTAGTGGTGCAGTATTTTTATTTGGCAAAAAACATTGAATTAAATAATAAACATTAAGAAAAAGTTCAATAGCTTCAGTTACATGTAATTAAGGGTTACTATAGTTCTGGCATATAACATTGTCATTGCAATTTGCTGTTATTGACATGGTTTGTTCAGTTTTATCTTGAAATGTATTGAAACTAAGGAAAACTAATTTGAAATTGTGAGAAAGATATTTTAAAAAATCAAAAGTAAGTTTGAAATAAGTCTTTTTAAGGAATATCAATAAGAAGGTATTTTTTTTATATTTTCTGTACCATTTCTCAAATTTCTGATTCAAATGTTAATACATGAATTCAATAATTATTACAATACTAATTTTATGAAATTGTAGGCAGTACTAATGACTGGAATCAACAGAATCATTTCAATGAAAAGATTCTTATTAACATTTTTAAGCAATTTAATAATAAAAAAATAATAATGTAAAAGTACTTTAAATAACACCTTAGAAATGTATTTAAAATTTTAGTAGTCAAATAGCATTGATCAACAATTTTTTGTTGTTGCATTTATTTGTTTTATAGGTTTTCCAGTCTCGGCAGCCTAAAAGCGAGCAAGATAGAGAGAGAGATCGTAAACGAGATGTCCATAGGGAAAGAAGGGACAGTTTTAGAGATCGAGAACCTAGGCAGGATAGTCAACCTAGAGTTTATACACCAGCTCAGTTTGAGAACTCTTTAGGGAAATTGCAGGTAATTTGTTATTTATAAAAATATTGAGAGTTTTAATACAAGTTGTCTCTTCTTAGTTCATTTGAACAGCATTGTCAGGCTTTGGTCATTTTATGTTAGGAAGTTGATGATATGATATCCGACATAAAATAGTGATGTTATACACGGATATTTATGTGAGGGATTTAAGTCTGTAAGGTAAGTTTATATATGATAAAATGGCTACTGATAAATAGGAATACACACATAAGGTGGTTGCCGTTGATTGTTTTGAACATCCATAACTCTTACAAGTATTAACAGAATATGTTAAGAGAGATAAAAATTTCATTGTCAACAGTGAAACCATGTTAGATGAAGCAAAGCCAATTCAAAATCCAAAAATGCATCCTGATCACTCATAGAAAGAAAATGTAAAGCTTGCAGCAGGAAGATAATAAATTTTTTTTTATTTTTTATTTTTTTTACTGTGTAAGGAAGTTGCCTTATTCAGTGTCAAAACTCCCAAATTACATAGTTTCCTTTCATTAGCAAATTTTATGCACTCAAGATAGGTGCCACTTTGGGATCAAAGGAAATGTAAATAATAAAAAAGTAACACTGAAAATTTTTAAAAAAACTTTAAAAATTCATTTTACTGTGATTGATAAACCTAATGCAAAATATTCTAATAAAAACTAGAATTGAGAGACATGCCACTGCTAATTATGAGACATGCACTTAGACCATTTCAGGGAAATCATAACTATGGTTTAGGTGTGCAATAGCATAAATTGTTGTTTAGGTATTGAATATTTATTGATGATGTCAGATTTTTTGATGCTGTATAATATTTATGCTTAGCAATTCATTTAATTTCATTGACAGTTGTATTTGTTGTATCTTCCTCTTTTGTTTTATACATACAGTAATAAATGCAATTTTCAATTCGATTTTATAAATCATTTCCAGATTGGTAGTGTGACAGCTCCAAGAAAAATAATTGACATGGATGTTGTCTCAACTGAAGGCTTAGATACTGTGCCAACTTCTAATCAGCGGGATACTAAAAGAGCAAAGCAAGTGTTATTAGAAATTGAAAGGGTATGTATGTAGAAAAGACCTTCTCCCAAAATGTTTAATGTTTGCTTCGATTAGTGTAATGAGTAAACAATCTGAAAGTGAGAATCTTCTCTCACAATACTTCGATCTTGTCAGAAAATGGTGATAAAATAAGTTATTTTCATTTAGAACTTATCACGCCAATTTCTTTGAGATAATGGCTGACAACAGAAATGTTCTCAAAATGAACCATATGAAATTATGTGTAGGGTGTATTTATTTGTTTTTCCCCTTTTTTATATTTGAAATGCAATTTCAAAACATTAGTTATATCTGATGATTTTTTGCCTTCTATTTCAAGTGGAGACTCTGACTGCTTGACAGTGCAGGCCTTTTGTTTTAAGAAATGCTGTATTCAAAAGTCATAAATTTTACATTTTTCGTAAAAATTGTTCTTGATTTCTCTCTAACCTTCCTAATGCTAGTAGGGATCTGCTGGACCCCACAAATGGGCTGAGAATACATTGTTGGTGTGTCTAATGTTTCTTCGTGTCAAATATGTGAAATTTGAAGTTAAGTGTTTTGTAAAGTACAAGACTGGATTCAATACAAACAATTAATGTTTTTTGGGTTCTACTTGGATCCTCCTTAGCATGTGGTGTTATAGAAGCCCACTTCAAAGTTAACAAGTAGTTTTCAAGAAAAATATTTAAAATTAAATTGTGTTATTGTTATAGTGCATTTCACAGATTCATTTTACTTGTATTGTTGCCCTTGATTCTTTAGATGTAATTATACTTTCAAGTTTGACATGATTTGACAAACTTTTTTCCGATGCCTAAGATAGTAGTGTGTTGCAATAGTGCTTGTGTTAGTCATGAAAATGCCAAAAAGAAGTAGCCAAAAATTTGTTCTGTTATGGAGCATGTTCGAAAAGTAGGACGTAATTCTAAATAAAATGAGTTATATACAAGCATAAAAGATATTGAAGTTGATCATACTTTGTACAAAGTACTTTGCCAACCACCCATCCATTTTGTAATAAAGGTTTTCATTTCTTGTTAAATGACAGGGTAAAACCAGTCTTATATTCTTAGCATTGTGATCATTTGTAGGCATCCATCAAATATTAAATAAGCTTTATCTCAAGTTGCATTGGTTTGGGTTAATGATTTTCTCTTTGGCCCCTTCTGTTATTTATTTAGTTATTAAATTATTGTTAATGCAGTATACAGGGTCTTTGGCAATGCATGAAATACCTTTGGCAACCCTTTCACATTTAGTGACCCACAGCCACAAGCCCTCAGATTTCAGAGTGAGAGAATGTTGCTAATTTTAGTTTGAAGAAAGAAAAAGTACTAATTCTGTCCTTGTTAGTCTTCAACATACTGCAGCCACTACACTGAAAAGAGTAAATGCCTGTCTCTTGGCAAATGGTGATCACTTTGAGGTCATCACTCGATGGTCAGTTTTCTTGTCATTTTAAGGAAATTATATTTTATTTTTGAATAATTATTTTCAATAATTATTAATTTACTACTGATTTATGTTTTGTAGGTATTTTGAATAATTTTATAAAGGTTTTCATATTTGCAAATGATCAGATAATAATAATAATAATATTAATAATAATACATTAGTATTGTTATAAATAATGAAGAGTTGGGCGGTAATGTTTCACGAGATATCTTCTGATATCTCTCTGAGCTGACTTTTATTAAATAATAATTATTGTTACGTGTTAATAAATTGATAAATAGTAACAACTTCCCTCCTCATCTTCTGTTTTAGTTTAGTTTTTTAAGCATACTGGACAGAATCACCTAAAGAGAGACGTTTTGTTTCTTGCTCATCTCTGCTCACCCCTCCCCTCCCCACCTAATCTGTTCAGCTCGAAAAGCTTCCGGTGTGTGAGTTATGTACCTGCTCGTCTAAGCTCCTAAATGGGAAAAACACAGAAACAGGAAAGTTACTGCAGCTTAAGGCTTGACGGTCGACTCCTCTGTCTCAATGTGCAAGGCACTGCTGTCTTGAAAGGTGGCAAAAACAAGTGGTTGCCAAATTGCCAGAATGAGAACCAGTGCTCCCATACATGGGTTGAAAGTTAAGCTAAAGACTGTATATCTGACATCAGCTCATACACAGCTCAAGCTGCAATCAGCTCATACACAATGAATTATATTATCATATCACAATTTTTCATATCAGTGAATCATAGTATCAGTAATGAAGAAAATTGAT